CTGGGCTTCTCTGCAATGGGTATGATCACAGGTAACTCCTCAGCCGGCATGAGGAAGGCAGGAGAGCAGGTGTGAGGAGGTAGGAAAACAGGCGAGGAGGCAGGTTGGGACCGAAGACGCCCATTGTCTTCCGGACGCCCGTGTCATGCTGTCACACTTATTTTAGGGAAAGCGTGGCAGGACCCCCTGCAACCAGACCCAGGCCGTTAGTGGAGGCGCCAGCTTGGCGGACAGGCCTCAAGGCGACCCGTGGTGCTGTCAGCGTTCCACCGCCGGGAGGCCAGGATACCCCGAGACTGGTCAGGCGGGTCAGGGGCTGGATGCTCCCAGACAGCCGGGTTGGCCTGGGGTCCCTGGTGGCTCTAGCGAGCATCCCAGGTACACCTCTGTGTGTCCCTTAAAATGGGCACAGCTGATGGTGCCACAGCCTCTGCCCTCAAGGATCCGATGGCTCCGTTTTCTCTCCTGCTTGCTCGCTGGTGTGGAGTGCCCTGTCCGTGGGCCCTGGGATCTGTGAACACAGTCCCGCCTGCAAGATCCCCCTTGCTGTGTGAAGTCCCTTGTCACGGGGTCAGGCATGAGGGAGCCAAAGAGACGGGTTTGCCTTGAGTTGGCACATTCCTGCACTGACGAGAGCTCGCCAAAGAGCACGGAACATTGTGTCTAAATTAATAAAAAGGGATTTTAAGACAATGGTGTCCCCTACAGTGGGGACCGTTGCTAGAACCTTCTCCAGCAATGGAACTCGCTTTTCTGGGCCGTTCTGTGCAGAAGCTCCCAGGCACACCTGGCTCCTGAGCCCATAAAATGCGGCCGGAGTGACCAAGAAGCCGAGTTCTGTATTTCATCGGACTTAACCTCTCATACGACGTATGGCAAATGGTTCCCATCTTAGCACAACCGTACAATACCTGGCCAGTGTTACGCCTCTTGCACACTTAGGGCCTGGTAGGGACGGTCTCTGCTACTTCCAGGCCTGACCTCTGGTACGGTCGGGGGGGAGGGTGTGAGCAGTAGTAGAGAACATTGGGCTGGGTTTTTTGTTTGTTTGTTTTGTTTTGTTTTGTGTTTTAAGGAAGTGCTGAAGTGACTGATTGTCTAAATCTGAGGGTCAGGATTCGGGGGCGGGAGTGCTGATCCCTTCGAGAAACGTGGAAAATGCTCGTCTGTCTGGCTCTTTCCCCGCACATCTGCAGCCTCTGGTCCATGGCGGCTGCGTGCGCTTCTTGGTGGAGGTCACCCAAGGCACAGTGAAGACAAAGATGGAAGACAGCAGGGGTGACAAGAATGCCCCTTCCCGCTGCTCTGACCAGGAGGGAGGCAGGATGACAAGACCCACAAGGCACCTGCCCCGTGTTGCCAGGACACCCGGCGTTTTCTGTCCAGCTGGGTAGCTGGGAGAGGGGCCTTAAGCCGTTGGCTTTGGCAAAATATTAGCGAGCTCCGTCCTGCTGTAAATGGAGCTCGCTGCAACTGCCAGGGAGAAAATGGGGACTTTTCAAAAGAGTGAGCAGGTAAATCAAATGTCACGTGATTATTTAAGAAAATTAAATATGCGAGAAGGCTTTGTCCAGCATCCGTGGCTGGCTGGGCTCCGTGTGATCTTGTCTGGGACACGGGACGGTTACTGCGCTCTGTCGGGGGAAAGCCCACGTGGCCCACAGGTGCGGCCAGGCCACCGTCTGTGCCGGACACGCACCAGCTCGGAGGTCCTGAGCCCAGGTGGGGCTGCTGGAGAGCCTGGCCGAGCCTGAGCCGGGACACAGCAAACCTGCCTCGTCTCGGCTTTGACGAGCTGTCCCGGCCGTGGCAGAGTGAGCTCCACGCAGGAGCCTTAGACGCCAGGCTGCGCGGGGTGCGCGTCTGCCTCATGGCTCAGCGTCAGTGTGTGGTGGTAGAGAGGGAGCCCTGCGCTTCCCCCGCACAGTCGAGTAGAGCTTTCTGTGATGGACTGTTCCGTGTGTGCTCTGTTCAACGTGGAAGCCACGTGTGCTCCCAAGCCCTCAAAACGTGGCGAGTCCAAGGGAAAATGGCACTGTTCATTTTATTAGATTTATTTAATTATAATGAAATTGTATAATTACATTATTAGATGTATTAGAGGGCCACGCACGGCCAGTAGCGTCTAGGTTGGATGGTGCAGGTGCGGACAAATGTTGTCCTCTAGCTCCATGGGTCCTGCAGCCTGCCCTGCCTGTGTGTCTCTCTTGCCTCTCCTCCTCGTCGAGTCCTGGCTCAGGAGTCCACTCCCAGTGGGAGCCCACGGGGCGCCTGAGGTCCCGGCGTGCTACAAGGGCGTCACTGCCGTCTTGGTCACCAGCACTGCCTGCTGTCGTGTCCGTGTCCTGCCCTCGGCTGTCAGCCCCTGAGGAGCAGGTGTCATCCCAGCCTCGGCCCAGGGCCCGAATGTCGCAGGACTGTGCACGCTCACTCAGCTGTCTGTGTCATCCCCGTAGGCCAGCACTGTGCTAAGGGCTTTCAAATGTCGATCAGAGTTAGGCGTATGTGGGTTGGAACCAGGGCTCCCTTCCCAGCTGTGTGGTCTGTACATTTCACTCGGCCTCTCAAAGGTGCGTTTCTTGATTTGTAAGGTGCCGGCGGTACCGGCGTCTCAGCATTCTGCGGGTTAAAAGAGATACACTCCACGCACTGCGTATGACTTCACTGAAAACTCATGACTGATGTCAGCAGATTTCTCCGGCACCTTTTCATCCTCAGGAAGATTTTAGTCCAGTTAGGGAAGCAGTATTTTAAAACACGGAATGAGTTAGAAAACATTATTCATTCACTCATGTATGTAGGAAATATTTATTAAGCATCTCGCATGTGCCGGGCCATGTTCCAAGCCCCAGGGCAATGTCCGTGGACCAAACGGAGCTCACGTCTCACTGGGGGAGACGGACGATAAAATGATAAGCAAATTACACAGTATGTCTGTCTGCTGTGGGAACAGAGGTAGATGGGTTCGGGGTGTGGGAGGCGCTGGGGAGTGGAAATGTCGCTGTGAACGGGGGGTCAGGCTTACCGAGAAGGTGATCGTGGAGCACGGGCTTGAAGGGAGGTGAGGGTGCCTGGGCAGAAACCCAGGCAGAACCTTCCAGCAGAGGGGGCAGCCACTGCCCAGCGATGGGCGGGACATACCCGGGGCTGGGACGGGCGAGTCGGGGGGCACGCCCTGTGGACCTTGAAGGACACCGGCTCTTACTCTGACTGGAAGGGGACCCACACACGCCAGCCGTTTGACAGAGGCAATCTAGTTTGAGAAAGGTGGCTCTGGTGTCCTGCTGGGGGCAGATGGCTGCCGCGAGGGAGGGGTGGACGCGGGGACCAGAGGGAGGGGAGGACACGGGGACCAGCTGAGGTGTGTGAACGATCCAGGAGAGAGATGAGGATGCCCCCCTGCACCCCATTCTCTCTCTGTGTGGGTAATGCTATAACGTGTATAATTTCACTGTGGAAGATTTCTGTGTGTACAGAAGTAGAGGAGGCTACTCGGGCCCGTCGTGTGTACCGTCACCCGTGACAGCAGCCCTCAAGCCACCGCCAGCCTTGTTATCTGCGCCCTTACGTGCTTCCCTCCTGCTTGGGTGATTGGGAAGGAAAGGCCATATGTTCTATCGTTTCCGGGTTCTGGATCCAACATCTGGGCAGACGTGATGTTGTGATAAGTAGGATTCGAGCTCTAAGGGAAAGAGGAGACACAGGGGAGGTGACCCTGAGATTGCTTGAGCAGCTGGAGGATGAGGGCGTCCAGGGGAGGCGGGGAGACGAGGGACGGGCAAGAGCCTTGTGGGAGGCACGCTGGCCCGGGGACGTGGTCACACATCCCGGGAGACAGTCAGAGTGGGCAGGTGGAAATCCAGGAAGGCAATATGCATTTGGGGACAAGTCATCATGGGAGTGACGTTAGAAGCCAGGAGATGGTGTGAGGCCACCGGGGCAAGTTGGGGGGGGGGGGACTTGGCGGAGCCAGGTGCCCCTGGCGTGAGGAGCTCAGGGAGGACTGAGAAGGCAACGGCAGGGAGCTGCCTGCACTTCCCTAGCTGTAAGAACTAATCACCACAGACATGGCTCCAGCTCCCATTCCCGAGAGCAGGTCATGGGGTGCGTTTGCTACAAAAAGTGCCCACAGTGTCATAAGGAAAGCCGTCATTTTATGAATCCTCATAGTCCTGGGATTTCGGGAGAGAGTTGACTTCTCATGTCCATCGACCATTTCCGTTTCTCCTGTTGTGAACGGTTCTTACTGAGACACTAGTTTTTGTGTGGCTTTCTCTTTTCACCATATGAGGGGTGGAAAAACAGTAGGAACAAGGGGGCATCCACTGGCGTAGGAGAGGGGCGACTGCCAGGCCAGCCCTGACTCCCCCGTCCACACCTCTGCCCGTCTCCAAATCTCTGCTTTCTCAACTTCACAGTAAGTGTGCGGGGCGGGGGTTGGATTGAGTAATGTTAGCCCCACTCGTGATGTGACAAAGGGTCCTGCATCCCCTTGGGTGGAGTGACCTCTGTGCCTCAGTCTTGGAAGGTTCCAGAACACCGCTCTGTATGGGTGTCTGGGGGTGTCTGTTTCCCCTGCAGGCAGAGCAGGCATTCACCTCTGCAACCCATTTCTATCCAGGGCCTGCCTCCTGATTGCTCAAATAAATGTTTTTTTTGAATGGATCTAACTAAATGCTTTGTAAGCAAATTATTCCCAAGTTAAAATATTTTCTCCTTTAAAATATAAAATAAAATTGCAATTTGAGGCAGTAGGGTTTATGTATGTATTGGTGTGTTGTTCTTATGTGCTTCAGAGGGAAAGCGGGCTCTAATTCCCTCCTGGGTCTCTGTGTTTGTGCAAAGTCACTTGTAGGGACCCTTGGTGGGCAGGCACCTGCCCCTCCGGTTGACGGTCCCGGTGCTGGGCTGGGAACCCAGGGGAGGGCCTCACTCACTCACACCGTCCGGCCGCCCTCTCACCCCGGCTGACTGAGCCTCCCTTCTTGTTGCCAGGAAGCATGGCTGACTCTCCCAGGGAGGGGAAACTGGCCGGGGCTCCGGACTTCACCCAGCTGGCGGACATGGCGTCTGAGTCTGTAGGAGGAAAGGTGAGTGGGCTGGGGGTGTCCCACGGACGAACGAGTGGTCCGTGTACCCATATGCTGAGGACCAACTCCCCCTCTGCAGAGAACCTGCTTAGAACGGCAAGAGTCAGGCTCAAAAGCGCCAGATGATCTTTTAAAAACTGGTGACAATTCTTGCAAAGGCAGCATGGTTTGAAGCTTAGAACAAAAAGACATTTCGTGTCCGTGCGATGGGTTCTCTGTCCTGCATGTTTTCCCAGCGTTGATTGGTGGTTCCCGCCCGTGAGCGCAGGCGTGACCTGCAACCCTTGTTAGCTCCACGCACGGGGCCAGGGCACCGAGTTCCAGCGAGGCGCGGGCCGTGGGCGGTGCACACGGGAGGGGCGCGCCCTCAAGCGAACTACATCAAGCAGAGACAGTCCCTTACCGTATGGTTTTGCTTACTCGTGGAGCACAAGGAATAACACGAAGGACATGGGGAGATGGAGAGGAGAAGGGAGTTGGGGGAAGTCGGAGCGGGAGACAAACCATGACAGACTGTGGACTCTGAGAAACAAACTGAGGGTTTTGGAGGGAAGTGGGGGCGGATGGGAGGGCCTGGTGGTGGGTATTGTGGAGGGCACGGATTGCATAGAGCACTGGGTGTGGTGCATAAACAATGAACTCTGGAACACTGAAAAGAAATTAAAAAAAAAAAGGAGACAGACCTGGGAGTCAAGGCAAGGGCAGGGGCTGGGGGCACGCATCTCCGCTGGCCGGGGGCCAGCCCGAGGGAGCGGGAAGGGATGGGGAAGCCCCTCCAGGTGAGTGGTGCTCCAAGGAGGCTTCAAGTGGGAGAGGGAGCCGGCGGGGCAAAGGGGCGAGGGGCGGTTTCTGTTGGGATGCCAGGTGGAGGAGGACGCCGGGCAGGGGGAGCACCGTGTGCTCCTTGGTTTCGTGTTTCTGGAAGTCGTCAGCTGGTGCTGGGGAGCAGGAACCTCAGGAGGTCGGAAAGGCCCCGTGTGCCCGCAGAGGGCTTTTGCCAAGGAGGATCTGGACAGGCGAGGGGCTCTAGCGTCTGCCTGCCTGTGCTTTGCCCTGACGCATCCTCGGGGCAGGTCCACCCAGGCACGGCAGGGACTCCCCTCCACTTTGCGTCCCAAACAGCCAGCAACTGCAAAATATCCAGGTCTTCCCCTGCCTTTGAGGTTCTGGGCGGGGGTCAGAGACCAGGCGTTTCATCAGAGGCGAGCTGTGCTCAGAGACCGACACGGTCATTTATTTAACACGGTTCTCTGTGGAAACTGTAATTTCTAATAATAATTTGCAAGCCAATAGCACACAAGATAATGTCTCCTAAACAACACACCCTAAACCAATGATAAGCTAATTACACCGAATTAAACCAAAAGCTAAGTGCCCCTACCAGCTCGGGTCCCTGCACCCGGTGGGCAAAGGCCCGGTGTCGGCAGGCAAGGGGGGCTGGTCTGATGGTACCATTCAGGGGCCGTTGTGGGGTCCACGAGGAGCAGCCTCGCCAAGGCAGGGGCAAATGTCCCTTCTCCCCTGGCGACCGCTGCCCGGGAACCAGTGCCAACCGAGAGCAGCCGTCCCTGGTCCTGGGTGAGGTAGGGATGACCGCAGCCTGTTTTATTCAGAAAATCCATTTTATACCTGTTTTCCTGGTGCAATTATCAGCTATGCCCTCACTCTCCAAAATGTCCTGCTGGGGTTGATAAATGATCGGCCAACCTTCCATCAGGACGTCCTTCAGTGAGCCGGCAAACCACGGAGGTGGGGGGGCCGTGTGGTGTGTCCTGGGCCACTGCTCTGCCAGTGAGACAGTCACAAAGCCCAGCGTCCCCCGTTCTTGAAAAGGAGAGCTGGTGGGTTTTCTCACCAAGCGTAAGAAGTTAGCGCCTCTGCACCCGACTGGGAGAGAGTGTGAACACCGGCTGGGAGGAAGGACGGAGGAGGCGGGCGACGAGGCCTGGACCTTTACCAAGCGTCCTGGGTTAATTACCTGTTGTTTCTCTCCCCCTGGCAACTGCACATGTCTTATTTACTGTGTCTAATAATGTTTCACCAGGCATGAAATACAATGCTTTTTAATTTATGGTTATTTTATCTTCTTTCTTTGTCTAGATTTTATTCGCAACAGATGACTTTTTTGCTCCTGCGGAAAACCTCATAAAGGTATCATAAATTGGCATGAAGTGTGGGTACAGAGCGATCTTAGTGGTTAGAATCCACCGGAATATTGGGGATGGGAGTCCTGTAATGTGTACCAGGAATGAGCAGTTCGAACAGTAGAAGCCTGGAGAGACCAGCTCCGGCTCAGGGTAAGACACACTGGAAACGGACGGCACGGGACACAGCAGTTTGGGACTGCGTTGCTCTGTGGGGAAATTACTGAGATCCGTGTATATTGTCCTCTGTCGAACGTGGAGTTTGTAATCTGTGACCTGTGCTGGCACGCCTCTCGGATGTCTGGAAGTTGTGTTACCTGCCTACTTACAAAAGTGTAGGACATACTTACTAAAAGATGGACAAAACCCCCAGAAAACACTGACAAATAAGGGGAAGAAATGGAGCCTTGGCTAGAATCCCGGGACCTTGTTACACTGGCTGTGGGGGGTGAATTCTTGCGAGTGGGCGGATAAGCACAGGTGTGCACAGAGGTCATGCACATGCACGCCGTGTGTGACGGCAGCTGGAGTCTTGGCCTGTGGCCAGGCTGCTGTCCTCTGCGTGGTCACTGGCCTTCCGGTCGGTCTGGTGACAGGGTTACTCTCCTGGGCAGGAGCTAGCCAGGTCTAGAGCACGTTAAGGGCAGGTTGTCTCTATTAAAGTACTCCTCGCAGAAAATGATGCTGAAATGAAGAACAGAGATGTTGATTTACTTGTTCTAGGTCATGCAGCTAACGCATGCCAAGCTCTTCTCGTTTTACCATGTCTGTCTAGAGGAAACGTAAATGCATGCACGCCTTGACCCAGCTGTCCCACAGATTGATATTACTTGCATAAATAGGCAGAGATATGTGGAAAACAGTCATTCCAGGGTTGTCCGGGGCGGGGGGGACCGACCGGAATGGCCATCGATGGGAACCTGGTTAAAGAGCCCATGATACGAGCGTCCTGATGTGGGTGACCTGTGGCCTGAGGAGAAGGGGCTGGAGCTCTAGACACCCACGACGGGAGTTCCTGCGTGTCGTAAGGACACAGAGCAGTCGACAAGACGCACGCCACGTGGTGAAGGGTGGTTGTCTGTGAGGTGCTGGGCTCGGCAGGGGACGGGACGAAGAGCGGGGCCTGTTCTCCTCCATGACACTTGCATGTGTGTGTGTTCGATACGCGCGTGCGTGTCTGCACACAGGTGTGTGTGCTGCGTATGCATAGTCGTAGAACACATGCGTGTGCGCATCAACACCTTCTCCTTCCTGAGAAAAAAGTCGCGGGTGAAGCTGAAGCCCCGCGCCTCCCTGTGCAGAATTAGCGCTGCTGGGAGTCTGACCTTGTCTCCGAGTACATTTCATTCTGTTATAAATATATCAATATAAATATATAAATATAAATTCCGCCTGTAGGAAGGGGTACTGCTGTTTGCTTTTGAATTTGTAGACATGTTCTTATAAAGTACCTGACATCACGGGACACGTCTCGCGGAAGTGTGTGTGCTCTGCCCGTGCCCAGGGACCGCGGTCTGGTGGCCCCCCCACCGCCCACCACCGGGTCCCTCACCCCACCGGAACTCTTTCCTGTGCTGACATGCATTTAGGTCGCTTCGCTTTTACCTATGATAATCCAACCTGTCTCTTTGGGGTGGGAGTGCACGTGCTGGAAGCCCGGCCCTCCTGTGGGCGTTAACGGTGGCCTGGTGCGTCTTTGCTTCAGAAGGACCGCCCAGGCTTCAGAGAACACGAGCACGCTGAGTTTGGGAAGTGGCTGGATGGATGGGAGACCAGGAGGAGGAGGACTCCAGGTAACAAGATGTCTCTTTCTTTCACTGTGGCGAAGCTTAAACACGGGTCAGAAAGCCAGTGAACGTCTCAGCTCAGCTTTGTCCTGGGCCCTTGGAACGCTCTGTATCTCGGCTGTCCCTTCTGAACACCAGCTCTGACGATGGAGGAAGGGGTCCCCTATGCCCCGGCAGGGGGAAGGAGGGCGTGCATGAGTGTTGGCGAGGCTGCGGGAGCAGGGCGGGGAGCATCTGTGGTGGGCCTTCACCCCCGATCCTTGGGGCAGCTGCTCTTGTCCCCAAGAGGCTGCTGTGGAAGCAGCCTCACTCCCTCAGCCCCGGTCCTGTCACTCTGGAGAAGAGCTGGGATCGGACACAGATCCCTCTGCCACTGCACACACCTCCTGTCACCCAAGGACCTACTTTTCTTCAGTTCTGCTTATCAGGCCCAACCAAAATACTCCTTTTAAAGTTGAGGAAATGCTTGTAAAAGCAAATGGACCCAGCATGAGGCTAATAACTGATTCTTCTGGGTCTGTCTCAAGTGTTACAGAGATGCTGGGTGCTTCTAAGGGGCTCCAGACGTGACCAGATTCCAGTGCGTCTGGGCATTTAAAGGCGGGTCTGCATGGGACTGTGAGTAACCAGGAATTACCTGGTGACCGGTGCCATGGAGACTTCTGAGACTTCAGCTAAGTCTAAGCCGGGGACGGGGGGCACAGGAAGTCCCCAGGTGAGCGTGCCGTTTCCAGGAGGCCCAGGCCCACCCTGAACGCCTGGGCGGGGTCTAGTCACACTTGACCATTCTGGAAGGTTGATCTCATCTCTGATTCGCTGTTGTAGAAACGGGGTTCAGAGAGGCCAGTTTTCACTTTGGAACCAGAACCGGGTCTCCCTGGAGCCACGGCCTATGTATGTCCTGCCGGGCCTGGAACACGGGCTCTTGTAGGGCACGGCGGCTACACTTGGCCACGTTACAGGAGACCTTTTGGTCACAGCGGAGCCTCCCCCTGGGTGCACTTTTCTGTGGTGGGAGGAGGGGCCGCTGTGGCTGGTCTTCAGCTCTGCTCGAGCCCACATTTCACCTGACGGGGCCGTCCTTGTTTACGTCTCGCAGGTCACGACTGGTGCATCACCAAGCTGGGGATACCAGGGGTTATCCGCGGCTTTGACGTGGACATTTCCTACCTCACGGGCGACTATGCTCCTCGGATATCGATTCAAGCAGCCAACTTGGAAGAAGGTGCCCTGGGAACCAGCGGCCCCCAGATGGGCAGGGGGCAGGTGGGGTCACCCGGGCCGGTCCCCTGCCGTGCACCGCCCACCCTCACAGGTCCAGCGACTTGTCCAAGGCCCCTTGACTGCACTGAGCTGTAGAACTTGGATTCCCAACGTAGGGTTCTATGAGTTCTGGTTTTTAGCTCGACCGGAGGTGGGGTTTGTTACTCCCACCCTCTTCCGGCCCCTCGCAGGGGCGCGCCCCGCTGGCACCGTGAGGTCTGGGGAGCAGGTTGCAAGGAAGGGTGGCAGGGAGTGGGACACCGGACAGTGCGGAGCCAGGTCTGGGCCCGCTGTGGACGGTGGCGGGGGGAGCACCAGCTTCCTTTTTGCTCTCCCAGGGTGCGTAAAGGTGCCGCAGGCGCGGGGTTTTCGGAGAGGGTCCCTGCCGCTGTGTGGGGTGCGGGACCGCATGAATCGGACAGGCTCTGCAATGCAAGTCCGGCCTGGGTTTGGAGTCCTTGAATCGGCGCAATCCACAGCCGGTCCTTTTAGAAACGGTACCATTGTGTGTGCGCGCCTGTATCTAGGGACGATGAATCATGTCTGCTGGCGAACTGACGCTGGGAGCCCAGCGTCCACAGCCCCGTACGAGGCTCTGTGGAAGGATGGGCCGTGCTCCTGAGGACGGGGGGGAAACCTGAGAAGTTAGGGGATGATGGAGAGATGCTACTCTGGAGGCAGGAAATGACTAAGGACAAACAGTGAGATGCTTTCTCCAAGCCCTGCAATTGTCCGAGATATCACCCCAATGTCAACTCCAAGATGCCATGGGGGGAGTCCTGCTTTGGGAACTGACCTGGCGATGTTCCAGAACTTCCACTGATCCAACCTCTAAACCCTCTAGTCATGATACGCTTGTTGCCATTGGACTTGGAAATGGTACCTACTGTTTAGACAAGCAAGTGTCCTACCAGGAGTCCTGCAGGAGTTTTTGAAGTTACTTAGTGTTTTAAATAGCGAGGAACTTCAACTTGTGTCTGTTACTGTGGTCATCTGATGCTCTGACTTGAGAAGTGTCATCTTCGGGGTTATTTGGCAAAACGAAAATGAACATACAGCCCACTAGGGGAGTGTATTCTCTTTGATTCCGAGCACGAACCCTAACCCTACTGGTCAATCTACCTTCAGATAAACAACCAGAAATCCCACAGAGAGGCGCCAGGACGGGAGCCGCGGCCACGCCAGAGGAGTTTGAGGCTGTTGCCAAGGTGCGCCAGCATGTGGCGGGGTGGGGGGTGGGGGGAGCCATCCGTGGCAGCTGGGCGGCAAGGGATGGGCTCCGCTCGCCTGGCCACAGCATTCAGCCTGGTACACCTGCCCTCATTTACTGGCCCAGCGGGACTTTGCAGGTGCTTCTCGAGGGGTTCGTGCTACCCCTGCGCAAGGGAAAGCCGTGGCCCGGGCGAGGTCTGCAGTAGTGGGTCTCAGGGCTCTCTGCTTCCCCGGGCTCATCTGCTGGTGGCTGTCCTGATGAGATAAATACAGAAAACCACAGTAATAGCTTACGTATTTAAAAAAAAATTTATTTATTTATTTGACAGAGAGACACAGCGAGAGAGGGAACACAAGCAGGGGGAATGGGAGAAGGAGAAGCAGGCTTCCCCTTGGGCAGGGAGCCTGATGCAGGGCTCGATCCCAGGACCCCAGGATTGTGACCCGAGCTGAAGGCAGAGGCTCATCCGACTGAGCCCGCCGGGTGCCCAGCTTACGTACTTCTTACGTAGACTTTATGCCTGATGAATCTGATAGACCAAAAACTTGGGCTTGTGTTCTGGTACATTCTCGTTTTTTAGTTTGTCTAGTAATTTATACTGTGTTTTACAAAAGTGCTGATCACAACAGACTGGAAAGTAAATAACAGCAACTGTTTGAGGAGTAGGGATGGAGAGGAAACTGCCACAACGTTCAGGTCAACTGGTCAACAGGACAGCCCGGTTTTTACTCAATGTTCATGTCACTATTCCGGTTCCTTCTAAGAACCCCTGAGGGAGTCTCAGACCTTGTCCTTCGGCCCCAAGCTCCCTGCTTGTGCTCCTGCTGCCCTCACCCAGTGGCTATTTTAATCGGATGAAAAGCACCCAGGCCTTTAATCTGCTTATTAAACCTGGGGCTTAATCTTTATTAGTATTTTTATTAAAGTGTTTTATGAGGCATCCATCATCAATTTTTATTCCAAAGTATTTCTACCTGTAGTCCTCACGTGAGCACTACGATGCGTTCCCAGGAGCCACTGCTAACATCTTCGTATTTATTGCTAGCTGAAGTCCGACGACTGGAATTACCTGGTCCCCATGACAGAGCTCAAGCCAGGAAAGCCTGATTCCAGCCACAATTACTTTTCCGTCAATTCCCAGCAGAGATGGAGTCACGTAAGGCTCAACATTTTCCCGGGTAAATATGACGCAGACCCATCTGCTGTTCTGGTTCTTCTTTACTTAACGTGGGCATGTTTCAGATTGAAGTCACTCATCACTCTAATATTTCAGGGTTATGATTTGTCCTTTCTGTGCTCCAGGAAACTCTCGTTCCAACCCAACCGTCTATTGGTAGTTACTGAAAAGGCATCATGTTAGGAAGTGACGGAACTGAGCTGTATTAGGTTAAATATCTCCTAATGATTTCTATTTCGCTGGGCACACTAGCAGATCAAGTAGTGTGTGCAGATGACCGTCCTTTTCTTTTATTTAACAGCTCTATTGTAATGTAATTCACTTACTTGACGTGCACAGTTCAGTGGTTTATAATATATGTCAGTATATGGCATGAAGTCCATGGAAATGTACAGCCAAGTACAACCATCACTACAGTCAGTTTTAGAAGGTTTTATCGCCTCAGAAGGAAGTCCCATACCCTTACTATCAACCCTTATCTCCCTCAGCTCTCAGCAGCCATGAAATACTTTGTCTAGACAGGCTTGACCATCTGGACATTTCATGTAAATGGTCTTTGTGACTTGCGTCTTTCACCAGCATGTTTTCCGGGCTCATCCATGTTGTAGCATTCTTAGGAGCATTTTGTCATTTTCATGGCAGAATAATATTCCACGGCACAGAGAAACCACATTGTTTCTCCATTCATCAGTTGATGGGCATTTGGGGTTTCCACCTGTTGGAAACCCATTACTTATGGGTAATGCTGCTATAAATATTCCTGTACAGGTTTTTCATTTGGGCATATATGTAGGATTGGAATTTTGGGTCATAGAGTAACTGTGTTTTAAATTGGTGGGAGGAACTATCAGACTGTTTTCTAAAGCGACTGCATTATATTATATTCTCACCAGCAGCATGAAGGATTACAATTTCTCCACATCCTTGCTAACACTCGCCATTATCTGACTTTTCGGTTGTAGACATCCTAGAGGATGAGAAGTGGTATCTCATTGTGGTTTTAACTTGCATTTCTCTAATGACCAATGATGGTGAACATGTTTTCAGTTCCTTACTTTGGCCATTTGGAATGTTTATATATGCATGTGCATGTGTACACCTGTATTTATAAACATATTTTTTTTTGAAAAGTGTCTTTTGTCCATTCTTAAGTTGTTTTTTATTATTGAATTGTAAGAGTTCTTTATGTATCCTGGTACATATCCTTTGCCAGATATATGATTTGCAAATATTTTCTCCTGGGGTCCAAGTGTCAAGGGGAAGGAAGCAGTAGGACAACCTGACGGGACACGTAGGGTGACAACAATTTGCTTTAAATGAATCACCCTCAGAGCATGGAGGGACGCGTCTAATGTCCTTCATAGTTTTGATTAATGGTGAGGCTAGATATTAACTCTGTAAAGAAGAACCTTATTTTTAAAAATATCAAGTCAGCTTTACACTCAACAGACAAGCATCTTCTAAACCATCAAAGTTGATCACCATGTCCAGTGAACCAGAGCAGAGGTGACATAGGCTAGCTTCTGCTAAACTACTCCCTCTAGTATATTTTTAGGGTGTTATGCTAACATAGTTTGGTTTTATTTATTATAAATGTCAAGACTCTTCTACTGAAATTTTTTCAGATCCCTCAGTTTCATCAAATTTTTCATGTAAAAATTTATAGGGCTTTGTTTCTGTAGAATACTCTGATTAATGGGAAAAAGCTCTATATACAAAGCTTGCTCCCATCATCCAGGAAGTACTGGTCTAACAAATAAAAACATTCACTTTATTAGAATCAGATAATGTGAGTTGATGTCGGCAAGTATTCTGTGCTCTGCAGGCCTAATCTTGGCTGCTGTGGCTCTCAGAAGTGATCGAGTTTTGTGACTATTATCTTTTCTATTCTCAGTCGTATTGCTAAGCAATGTGTTGTTATAAAAATAAAAACATAACGCTCATATTAGTCTGTGTAGGATTTAGCAATGCTAATTTGTGGCATCAAACATTATATCTATGGTGAATTTCCCAATTGATTGTTTTTTGACCTTCTTGGAATTATTAATCCAATTTAAAAAAGTGTGAGTACCTACTATGTGCCAGGACCAGTTCTAGATAGAGATGATAGAGAAAAGATCAAGATAGATCATTATTCTGGCTTTTAAAGATTTTTATACTCTGGTTCTGAGAGACTGATATCAGCAGGAGCTTGAACAAGTAGAATGACAAGTTGATTTCAGACTGTGACTTGAACTCTGAAGTAAATATGGGAGGGGTGGATACAGCAAACCTGGGGAATCAGGCAGAGCCAGGCAGAGCTGGAAAGAGGTAGCTAGAGAGTGAGGGGAAAAGTCTTTCTGAGACCATGGCACTAAAGGTGAGACCCAAGAAAAGCAGTCTTTTGGAGAGCTGGGAAATTTGTTCCAGTACAAAGGAATGGTAGGTGCAAAGGCCCTGGGGCAGTAGGGTTGGTGTATTTGAGAAACAGAGCAGACAGGTTGTGGAGGGCTATGTTGTTTACAACCTAGAAGCAGCCACCTTTTCAAGTAAGAAGTAACTATGGCCTCTTGCCTTTTCAGATGGTGGAATTGCACGTCTTAGAGTGTATGGTACTGGACAGAAAGACTGGGCTGCAACTGATCCCAAAGAACCATTTGACCTGGTGGCCATTGCTCACGGGGGTGCCTGTGTAGGATTCAGCAATGCACACTTTGGGCATCCAAACAATATGATAGGTAAGATGATGCTCTGGCAGCTGGCCTTTATTTGGGACGTCTGGGCCCCAGCATTAAGCACCCCACATAGTATGAATGATTTAAGAGGAAGTGCGGGAGTGGGTGAGATTAACCATCTAGCCACAGGATTTGATGCCTTTATGATATGAAGTAAATCAATAGCAATTTTCCTTCTTAATTTTGGCTTAAAGGGAAAAGTAAAACTTACAACCCTCTGGCTGTATGCAAATTTACCAAAACATTAAGCTGAATGAAAATGGTTTGTGTAGTGATGCTCAGGACCATGGGGTCTGTGATTTAATGATGCCAATGCATTCATTCTCACATTTAAGATAAAATCTTGTGATATTCCCATTAAACCGTGTCATTTTTGGCAGGAGTTGGCAAGCCCAGGTCCATGGCAGATGGCTGGGAGACGGCGAGAAGGCTGGACAGGCCTCCAGTGTTAGAAGTAAGAAGTCCAAAACAGCTACAGTGAAGTTTTCTAGATCTTGTTTTAACTTACCTCAAGGAAATGCTTATTTCAGAAACCCCTCAGGCAATGTTCCAGAAGTAGTTTTCTGTGTTTTCCAGATTCCCCGCTGTCAAGGATCACATCCTGTCCTGTTGCATCACTGTCCAATTTTTTTATTTTTAAAATTTTAAAAAAGATTTTATTTATTTATTAGAGAGAGAGCGAGCATGAGCAGGGGCTGAGGGAGAGGGAGAAGCAGACTTCGTCTCCCCCGATGAGGGGCTTAATCCCAGGACCCTGAGTTCATGACCTAAGCCAAAGGCAGATGCTTAACCCACTGAGCCACCCAGGTGCCACTGTTTATTTTAGAGTGAGAAAGAGAGAGCTAGAGTGAGCATGTGGGGAGGGCAGAAGGAGAGGGGGAGAGAGAATCCTTAAGCGGTCTCCCCACTGAGCATGGAGCCCTACTTGGGGCTCAATCTCACAACCCTGAGATCACCACCTAAGCTAAAATCAACATTTGGATGCTTGACAGACTGAGCCGCCCAGGCATCCCCCAATGCCATTTGTTTAATAAAGAAGTGAGGGTCTACAATTTAATGATAGAAAACCCATTGATAAATTCTTCGGTTGACCTGGAGAAGAAAACAGTAGTTTAATCATTTTTGGTATCTGTGTGTCCCTGAATGAGATCAGGGACAGGGACGTGTGGCCATGGGATGGATTTGGGACCCTAGAGATGGCTCAGCTTTTAAACATTTTGGCCAGTGACTAATGTGAGATGTGAAAGTCAAAACAAAAGCAAATAAAACACCTTTCTCTGTGTTAATCCCATTGAAAACTTACTTGTAAATCCCCTTTCTTGGGTCAGTTTTCATGTCAATTAAGGCTTCCAATGAAAGTGAACATAATGCTGTTGTCAGAAACTAAGGTTTGGAGGCAGATCATATATTGGTATGGATCTGACCAACAACATAATTTCACTGAAAGGTCGAAACAAATTTATCAGGGGACCCGGGGGCATGGTTAGACAGACCCTTCTACATGAGTTTAAAATTGACATAGAAAATCATGTAAGAAATTTATAAAAACTTACCAATTGCCCATTATACTCGAGTCCACATGAGGCATTTAAGGAATACTAGGCAAAGGGGCAATTAACACAGAAAGTAATTTACATATGAGGGCCTAGGAAACACTCTTTTATAGTAAGAGGTAAGAGAAATATCCTAAGTACATGTCAACATTTTTCACTTGCTGGTTTCCAGAATTAGTTTCTCAAATGGCACCAAGCTGGCTTATCTCTCTCTCTTCTTCCTTTTGGATTCCAGAATGACGAGAACGGCATTCTCCTTGTTCCAGGCTGTGAATGGTCAGTTTTCCGATTGGCACACCCTGGAGTAATAACGCAAATAGAAATTGATACAACACATTTTAAAGGTAAGTGTGATGCCGTCAGGGAAGGCATATGACCCGATGCTGGTTGTAGAGATAATGTAGTCCTGTGGGAGTGGAGCTCAGGACAGCGACTTGGACTCAGCTTTTACCCTCAGTTGATGTGTGGTTTTGAGCAACGTCCTCTGACTCTTGGTCCCCTACTTTTTGTCTTTATAAAATGTCAGAGTTGAACTGGATGACCCCCAAAGTTGGACGAGATTCTGTGAAGACACTTTATTACGGGGCCTGGATCTCACTTGGAAAGACTGTGAAATAGCCTTGGTTAGGACATGACAAGAACTGGATGGCATCTTCTTATTTTGGGGTAGGGGACAAAGCATATTGGTTGGGGTGACCATTTCCGCTCCAGACTGTACTTTTAAGACAAGGGGCTACACATTTTCAAAACTGTGCTCTTCCATTAAAAAAGAAAAATTGCCCAAGCACCCCTGATATTCAAAACCTACTTTCTTATGAAAGTATATGTGTCATTTGGGGCGCCTGGGTGGCTCAGTGGGTTAAGCCGCTGCCTTCGGCTCAGGTCATGATCTCAGAGTCCTGGGATCGAGCCCCGCATCGGGCTCTCTGCTCGGCAGGGAGCCTGATTCCTCCTCTCTCTCTGCCTGCCTCTCTCCCTACTTGTGATCTCTCTGTCAAATAAATAAACAAAATCTTTAAAAAAAAAAAAAAAAAAAAAAAAAGAAAGTATATGTGTCATTATATCGGCAAAGTTCAAGAGCGGATATTAAACTTTTATAACTGTTGGGTGAAATTTTCATACATATTGGATTGGGGGTGTTGTGATTGTTTAGTTGTCAGTAAATGGTGGCAGTTTATCCTCGTATTTTGGATGCCTTAAAGTTTAAACGTCTTGGGAATCATTGTGACTTCACTCAGTTACCACACCAAGACACACATACATACACACACACACACATAAATATTTTTTTCTTTTTTATTAACATATAAGGTGTTATTTGTTTTAGGGGTACAGGTCTGTGAATCTTCAGGCTTACACAGTTCACAGCACTCACCATAGCACACACCCTCCCCAATGTCCAAAACCCAGCCACCCCATTCCCTCCCACTGCCAGCAACCCTCAGTTTGTTTCCTGGGATTAAGAGTCTATTATGGTTTGTCTCCCTCTCTGGTTTCACCTTGTTTCATTTTCCCCTCACTACCCCCATGATCTTCTCTCTTGTTTCTCAAATTCCCCATATCAGTGAGACCATATGATAGCTGTCTTTCTCTGATTGACATATTTCATTTAGCATAATACTCTCAGGTTCCATCCATGTTGTTGCAAATGGCAAGATTTCATTTTTTGATGGCTGCATAGTATTCCATTGTATATATATACCACATCTTCTTTATCCATTCATCTGTTGATGGGCATCAAGGCTCTTTCCATAGTTTGGCTATTATGGGCACTGCTGCTGTAGACATTTTGGTGCACATGCCCCTTTGTATCAAACATGTGTATCTTTAGGGTAAATACCCAGAAGTGCAATTGCTGACTTATAGGGTAGCTCTATTTTCAACTTTTTGTGGAACCTCCATATTCTTTTCCAGAGTGGCTCACCAGCTTGCATTCCCACCAACAGTGTAGGAGGGTTCCACTTTCTCCACATCCTCACCAACATCTGTTGTTTCCCGACTTGTTAATTTTAGCCATTCTGACTGATGTGAGATGGGATCTCATTGTGGTTTTGATTTGTATTTCCCTGATGCCGAGTGATGCAGAGCACTTTTTCATGTGTCTTTTGGCCATTTGGAGGTCCCTTTGCAGAAATGTCTGTTCATGTCTTCTGCCCATTTCTTGATTGGGTTATTTGTTCTTTGGATGCTAAGTCTGATAAGTTCTTTATAGATTTTGGATACTAGCCCTTTATCTGATATGTCATTTGCAAATATCTTCTCCCATTCTGTCAGTTGTCTTTTAGTTTTGTTGACTGTTTCCTTTGCTGTGCAAAAGCTTCTAATCTTGATGAAGTTCCAGTAGTCATTATTGACCTTGCTTCCTTTGCCTTTGGCGATGTTTCTAGGAAGAAGTTGCTGTGGGTGAGATCAAAGAGGTTGCTGCTTGTGTTCTTCTCAATGATTTTGATAGATTACTGTCTCACATTGAGGCTCTTCATCCATTTTGAGTCTATTTTTATGTGTGGTGTAAGGAAATGGTCCAGTTTCATTCTTCTGTCTGTGGCTGTCCAATTTTCCCAACACCATTCATTGAAGAGACTTTCTTTTTTCCATTGGACATTTTTTCCTGCTTTGTCAAGGGTTAGTTGACCCTAGAGTTGAGGGTCCATTTCTGGACTCTCTATTCTGTTCCTTTGATCTATGTGTCTGTTTTTATGCCAGTACCATACTGTCTTGATGATGACAGCTTTGTAACAGAGCTGAAGTCTGGAATTGTGATGCCACCCACCAAATTTGGTTTTCTTTTTAAACATTCTTCTGGACATGGGAGATGGAGAGGAGAAATGAGTTGGGGAAATTGGAGGAGGAAATGAACTATGAGAGACTGTGGACCCTGAGAAACAAACAGAGGGTTTTGGAGGAGAGAGGGTGGGAGGCTGGGTGAGCCTGCTGGTGGGTATTATGGAGGGCACGTATTGCATGGAGCACTGGGTGTGATTCATAAACAATGAATTTTGGAACTCTGAAAAGAAATTTAAAAAATAAAAATAAAAAGAGAAAAAACATTCTTCTGGCCTTTGGGGTCTTTTCTTGTTCCATATAAATTTTAGGATATTTGTTCCATTTCTTTGAAAAAAGTTGATGGTATTTTGATAGGGATTGCATAAAATGTGTAGATTGCTTTAGGTAGCATGACATTTTAACAATGTTTCTTCTTCCAATTCATAAGGATGGAATGCTTTTCCATTTCTTTGTGTCTTGATTTCTTTCATGAGTACTTTATAGTTTTCTGAGTAAAGATTCTTTTCCTCTTTGGTTAGGTTTATTCCTAGGTATCTTATGGTTTTGGGTGCAACTCTAAATGGGATGGATTGCTTATTTTCTCTTTCTTCTGTCTTGCTGTTGGTGTAGAGAAATACAATTGATTTCTGTGCATTGATTCTGTATCCTGACACTTTACTGAACTCCTGTACAAGTTCTAGCAGTTTTGGAGTGGAGTCTTTTGGGTTTTCCACATAAAGTATCATATCTGCAAAGGGTGAGAGTTTGATGACTTTTTTGCTGATTCAGATGCCTTTTATTTCTTTTAACAAAAAGAAACAGGCTAGGACTTCTAGTACTATGTTGAATAGCAGTGGTGATAGTGGACAGTCATGCTGTGTTCCTGACCTTAGGGGAAAAGCTCTCAGTTTTTCCCCATTGAGAATGATATTTGCTGTGGGCTTTTCATAGATGGTTTTGATGATATTGAGGTATTTACTCTCTATCCATACACTGTGAAGAATTTTGGTCAAGAAAGGATACCATATTTTGTCAAATGCTTTTTCAACATCTGTTGAGAGTATCCTATGATTCTTGTTCTTTGTTTTAGTAATGTATCACATTGATTGATTTGTGGATATTGAACCAAACTTGCAGCCCTGGAGTAAATCCCACTTAGTCCTGGTGAATAACCCTTTTAATGTACTGTTGGATCCTATTGGCTAGAATTTTTGTGAGAATTTTTGCATCCATGTTCATCAGGGATATTGGTCTGTAATTCTCCTTTTTGATGGGGCCTTTGTCTGGTTTTGGGATCAAGGTAATGCTGGCCATATAAAATGAGTTTGGAAGTTTTCCTTCCATTTCTATTTTTTCGAACAGTTTCAGGAGAATAGGTATTAATTCTTCTTTAAATGTTTGCTAGAATTCCCCTGGGAAGTTGTCTGGCCCTGGGCTCTTGTTTTTTGGGAGACTTTTGATAACTGCTTCAATCTCCTTACTGGTGATGGGTCTGTTCAGGTTTTCTATTTCTTCCTGGTTCAGTTTTGGTAGTTTATACATCTCTAGGAATGCATCCATTTCCTCCAGATTGTCAAATTGGCTGATGTATAGTCGCTCATAATGTGTTCTTATAATGGCTTGTATTTCTTTGGTGTTGGTTGTGATCTCTCCCCTTTCATTCATGATTTTATTAATTTGGGTCCATTCTCTCTTCTTTTTGAGAAGTCTGGCCAGGGATTTATCAATCTTATTAATTCTTTCAAAAGAACCAGCTCCTAGTTTTGTTGATCTGTTGTACTGTCCTTTTGGTTTGTATTTCATTGATTTCTGCTCTGATGTTTATTATTTCTCATCTCCTGCTGGGTTTAGGCTTTCTTTGCTGTTCTTTCTCCAGCTCCTTTAGGTGTAGGGTTGGTTTGTATTTGAGACCTTTCTTGTTTCTTGAGAAAGACTTATATTTGTATATATTTTCCTCTCAGGACCAGCTTTGCTCTGTCTCAAAGATTTCGAGCAGTTGTGTTTTCATTTTTATTTGTTTCCGTGATTTTTAAAAATTCTTCTTTTAAATTTCCTGGTTGACCCATTCATTCTTTAGTAGGATGTTCTTTGGCCTTCAGGTAATTTGAGTTCTTTCCAACTTTCCTCCTGTGATTGAATTCTAGCTTCAGAGCATTGTGGTCTGAAAATATGCAGGGATAGATCCCAGTCTTTTGGTACCAGTTGAGACCTGATTTATGACCCAGGATGTAATCCATTCTGGAGAATGTTCCATGTGCACTAGAGAAGAATGTGTATTCTGTTGTTTTGGGATGGAATGTTCTGAAGATATCTGTGATGTCCATCTGGTCCAGTGTGTCATTTAAGGCCTTTATTTCCTTGTTGACCTTTTGCTTAGATGATCTGTCCATTTCAGTGAGGGGGGTGTTAAAGTCCCCTACTGTTATTGTATTACTGTTGATGTGTTTCTTTGATTTTGTTATTAGTTGGTTTATATAATTGTCTGCTCCCATGTTAGGGGCATGGATATTTAAAATTGTTAGGTGGTCTTGTTGGACAGACCCTTTAAGTATGGTATGGAGTCCTTATCTCTTCTCATAGCCTTTGGCTTAAAATCTAATTTGTCTGACATAAGGATTGCCAGCCCAGCTTTCTTTTGATGTCCATTAGCATGGTAGATTGTTTTCCACCCCCTCACTTTAAGTCTGGAGGTGTCTTTGGGTCTAAAATGAGTTTCTTGCAGACAGTATATCAATGGCTTTTTTTTTAATCCATTGTGATACCCCATGAAAGACACAATATATATTTAAAGTGGAGCTCGTCTTCAGTGGTAGTGGATTTAAGTGAATTATTTAAAGAAGTATTTATCATTGTGACCTATTTTTGGAAGACTATTTTAGATCTGATTGTTGGGTCACTGTTTTCACTTTTCTTTTCTTTTCTTTCTTCTTACTTTCTTTCTTTAGTTTAATTCTTTTTATTATATTCAGTTAACCAACATATGGTACATCATTAATTTTTGATGTAGTGTTCCATGATTCATTAGTTGCATATAACACCCAGTGCTCATCACCACATGTGCCCTCCTTAATAACCATCACCCAGCTATCCCATCCTCCCACGTCCCTCCCTTCTATAAACTTTAGTTTGTTTCCCAGTGTCCAGAGTCTCTCATGGTTTGTCTCTCTCTCTGATTCCCCACCCCCCCTTCAGTTTTCTCTCCCTTCGCCTGTGGTTCTCCATGCTATTCCTTATGTTCCACACATGAGTGTAATTGACATATACACATGAGTGTATCCACACATAATTGACTCTCTCTGCTTGACTTCTTTCACTCAGCATAATCCCCTCCAGTTCTATCCATGTTGATACAAAATTAGGTATTCATCCTTTCTGAACGTTGAGTAATATTCCATTTTATATATGGACTACATCTTCTTTATCCATTCATTTGCTGAAGGACATCTCGGCTCCTTTCACAGTTTGGTTATTGTGGACATTGCTGCTATGAACACTGGGGTGCGGGTGCCCCTTCTTTTCACTACATCTGTATATTTGGGGTAAATACCACAGCTGATGAAGAGCTCATCCTGGGTCAGTGGTGATGTCAACTCTACTCTTTTCTCCTGGTTTGTAGGTGCTTGCATTTCTGGTGGTATCTTTAATTCATGGGTGTCTGCATGAATAGTTTAAAATCACTTATTAATTCTGTGAATGATAGTTTAGTTAAAACCAGGTAACAGTAAGTCCATGTAACCAGGGTGCCTGGACTATTCCATCAGGAATTGCTGCTGTTTGCTGTCCAGGTTCTGTGCATCACAATTTGACGGCAGCCCTGGGGTGTGGGGCATGTCAGGATCCAGCTGTCATCTCAAATACACAAAGCCTAATAAGTACATGTGCATGTGTATACATATTAAAGGAATGCAATCAGAAATAATGGGTTTAATGTTCTCCTCCTGCATTGTTGGGTTTCTGTGTGCACCCAGGGGTGTGCTCACCCACCTCGGAGATCACAGTTGTAAGAGATGAGCTGCAGGGGGCATGAGAACAATGCATTTTTCTTTTTCCTGTCAGATTTTTTTTTAAAAGATTTTATTTTTTTATTTGAGAGTGAGAGAACGCACAAGTAGAGGATGAGGCAGGGAGAGGGAGAGGGAGAAGTAGGCTCCTTGCTGAGCAGGGAGCCTGACATGGGGCTCAATGCCAGGACTGTGGGATCAAGACCTGACCTGAAGGCAGATGCTTAACCAACTGAGCCACCCAGATGCTCCTTCTGTCAGGTTCTTGATCAGCAAGCCCTCCTCTGCTAATCTTAAAGTCTTAGGGGACTCCCAAAAAGGTTCTCCCCACAAAGAGCATGGCCCTCCAACTCCACCGGGCACAGCCCTGATGAACTGTAGAGAGAAGAGAGACTTGGGACCTCGTGTCTCACCCGGGGAACAGTTAGCACCCCTGGAATACAGCACTTGGGTTGGTGCTGCTCACTGACTGGTTAACTTAGCTCCATCTTTCTCTGTACCTCATGTGAAGAAATATGATGCCATAAGGAAAGTATCTTCAGCTTCATAAGAGCTTCAGATGAGCCACACATCCCTGTGCACGTACTTAACTGCAATTGCTTCTGTTCAGAGAGAATGATCTGTTCTTCCTGATAAAGGCTTATCAGATACCTTTACCTTTCCAAGTAAAATGCTGTACATCCAAACTCCAACATGCCGTACGTCCAAACTCCAACATGCCAGCCAACTCCTGTTGGCTTCATGATGTCAGGTTGATTTTGATTCCTCTGAAAAACACATACCTAAATTTCATCAGGCAATCCAACACCATCACTACTCGGTGCATTCCTTCTCCCACATACATCACACCTTTGCTTCTGTTCAGAGAGAACAATTTGTTCTCTGCTGGGTCTTTGATTTGATTAAAAAGTCCAAGACCCTGTAAGCCAAAGTGCTACACAGAATGGAGAGTCACCCTGCATTTGCTCCGACAGGCAATTCCCCCGACAGCTGTAAGCTGGATGGTTGTATCCTGACAACTCAGGAGGAAGAAGATATGATCAAGCAGAAGTGGAAGCTTCCGGGCCATAAGTGGAAACCGCTGCTGCCAGTCACCAAGGTGTGGTGCCCATGGGGGGCTGGGCAGGCTGGCCTCCAGCCTGGCCGCGTCCCTCAGATGCACTGTGATCAACAGTAACACGGACAAGCTTCTAAAAACCGTATCTTCATTTATGTCATGAAAACACAGGCTCTATTTCTTCATACTTTTGCATTTCTAACAAGTTTTGTTTTAAATCATCATGTGCAAGGAATATATATGTATTTCCATATATATGTATATGGAAGACATTTCTGCAGCATATTAACTTTTTAGAAGGGATGAGTAGCATATTCAAACCTCTAATCGTGTGTCCTCTGTGGAACGGATGCTGAGACATTCCGGAAGTGTCCGCTTCCATCCGGTAGGAAGATAGTCATTTGTGGGTCAGAGTGGGGTGTGAAGGTTGCTCCCACAGAGTTATGGGTGACGACCTCTGGGAGGTCACTTGCTTTCCTTATCAGTGTGTCTACTTCAATGACTATTAAGAACCACAGACAGCATGGACCTGAGTGTTCATGTCAGTGTTCCCCAGGCTTGCGATCCCAACTAGCTTTTCTCTGTGGTCAGCCAACTCACTATCAGTGAGTACCTGTCACGGTTCATGGGTGCTGAGCCCACAGGATGGCTGGCTCCGTGGGCCTCGCCCTGTGTTATCACAAGGGCACTTCCCTGCTTCTCTTTCAGCTCTCCGCCAACAACAGTCATTTGTTCGACAGCCTGACCCTGGAGCTCCAGGACGTCATCACACACGCAAGGCTCACCATCTTCCCGGATGGTGGCGTGGGCCGCCTGCGACTCAAGGGCTTCCCCAGCTCCATCTGCCTGCTGCGGCCCCGCGAGAAGCCTATGATGAGGTTCTCCGTGAAAGCGGGCTTCCGAGCCAACCTCTGACTCCCCGCACGGCTGAGCGCTGGTCAACACGGTCCTACACATCTCCTGAAGTGTTCTTAACACCCCAAACTTAAGAGGCTCTAGCAATGAATCTTACCAAGATCAATGGGATTCCTGGTTATTTAATAAAGTGGTCACTCTCACACGCTGGTATCTGTACTTAACAGTTGCTGTGAAGCATGAGGTAGGTGAAAAATTGGCTGAGGCTGTGAAAGGCAGGTGGTCTCCTAGAGTTTACTTTTCAAAACCACTCCGAGATCTTGATGTAGCACACTCTGTGCCTCTTCCGTCTGCAGACGCTGCTATGTATCCATAGCCTATCACCTTCAACAGAAGTTTAAGCCCATCAAAACCACTGGAAAAATGTATTTCAGGAATCATTCATTGTCTCAGCTCAAGAGGACTGGCTCATCCCTACCCAGAAAAGGAATAATTTCCACAGGGGCACCCGTGCCCTGGAATTGTTCTTTCTCCCCCAAATGAAAGTGGATTCTGAGTGTCAGACCTGTGAGGAACCGTGTGCCAGCTGTGAGGAGAAATCTAGTTTCTCACAGGTTCTGAATGGTTCCATACAATTCTTCCTTGACGAGTTTTGATTATGGAGACAGTCCTGATGCATCCCCCCATCCCAGCAACCTGTCCTGCATAGGAGGCCCGCAAGCGCAGTGGGAAGGTTGTGGTGAGTGTGGGGTGGTCCTCAGCAGCCTCCCATTCCTGCCACCTAGCCAGAGAGGTAGATCACAAAGAGCGGCTGTCTCCCTTTCCCTGAGCTCTGCTCGCCGCACCTGTCGAGGCTCGCGGAGGCCCCTCCCTGGTCCTGGCTCTCCGCCCCCTCCCCTGTCCAAGCTTTCAGATACCCGCCGCTCCCCTGCGCCGACTCCCTGCCTCCCCTCCCCTGACCATCGTCCTGCCCCTCTCTGGGCTGCAGGCCGCAGGCGGTCACAATGGCCGGCTGGCGTCAGCGCGCGCAGGGAGCTGGGGTCGCACTGCGGTCCCGCGCCCACGCCCTGGCTGCGCCCCGGCTCGAGGGCAGCGAGCGGTGTCCGGTGGCCCTGGGGCGGCGCGGCCATGGGCACGCGCGGGCCGCACGTGCTGGTGGACCCCACGCCCGCCAAGACCATCCTGGTGTACCGCAACGGGGACGCGTTCTTCGTGGGCCGGAGGTTCGTGCTGCCGCGGCGCCCCGTGGCCACCTTCGAGGCGCTGCTGGACCAGCTGACCGAGCGGGTGGAGGTGCCTTTTGGCGTGCGGCGCCTGTTCACGCCGACGTGCGGGCACCCGGTGCTCGAGCTGCAGGCGCTGCGGGCGGGCGGCAAGTACGTGGCGGCCGGCCGCGAGCCCTTCAAGAAGCTCGAGTGAGTGCGGCGCCCCCTCCCCGCGCGGCCCGCTGCCCTCCAGGTGCGCTGCCCACTCGAGGCGCACCTGTCCCCCTCCGCTCTCTGTGCGGGGTGACCCGGAGAGCGCGGGAGGGCAATGTTGCCCACTGTGGGCTGTGACCGGCGAGTGCGGGAGGGAGGCACACCTGTCGCCCTCTGCTCCGTGACCGGCCAGCGCGAGCGAGGGAGGTGCACTGTCGCCCCCTTCTCACGGTGACCAGGCGAGCGCAGAGCCGTGTTCTGTGCCTGGTGACTCGCCAGTGGGCCAGCACCCCTGTGCGCACAGCCCCCTCCTGCAGCTTGTGGGCCGGGCTGGCGTCCACCTGCGGCCCCCCCACCCCGCCGCGTCCCCAGGGTGGCCCTGAGGGCAAGCCGGTCTGAAAAGTCGACCTTGGCTGGAAGATCTGCAGGAAGGAAGGGAGTTAGCCCTGCGGGGAGAACTGGGGGAGCACGCTGGAAGGCAGGAATCAGATAAGGGTCACCCTCTGCCTGGCTTGCCCCCGTCTGGTGTTCAGCCATGCCTGGCTGGGCATTCTTGGGTGAACGCACTTGCTAAGGTGTGAAATGCGTGCATCTCCAGCAGAGTCTCCTGTTAGACTGGGGCCTTGGAAGCGTCATCTCCAGAATCCTGGCCCGTGAAGCAAGGCTGGCCCACAGCACAGACTGAATGTCTGCCGAGCAAAGAGACCCCCTCTCCAGTGTCTGCTGAGGTCAAGACAGCCCTCGGGAGAGATGTTAGCTGTCCTGGGGAGATGCACTTGTGTGTGAAATCCTGATGGAAACGGATTGGCCATATTCAACTTGTGAGTCCTACTGGATGGCATCCACTCAGAATGCCAGTTTGATGCTTTTTTCTTTAGCCTGACTCTGGTATCACAATCCCTTTGAGGTCTTACTGCTTGTGGGCTTATACAGCACAGTTCTGTTCATCTTCTCAGGAGTACTCCAGTGCTTCTTACAATTTCTCCGAGCTTTCTTAGTAACTGTCATTATACAAGTGTCTCCGAAACCCCAAATTCAAGCTTGCAGTTCTTCAACAAATAGCCGATGTTCACCCCTTCCCATGGGGCAGAGTCGGGGTGCTGTAGAGGCTGTGAGAGCTTTACGGTGCATGTTTATGGGAGATAAGAAGCAAGTCACCATAACAGAGAGAGGGGTCACTACTATGAGAGATTCTGTTTTGGAGCAGGGCCTCTGAAAAGGCTTCTTTACAAAATGCAAGGGGGGGAAGCTGTTTCTTATCCTTCATGAATTCCTGACCTGTGGCAGGATCACCCATTTCCTGTGTCTGCCTTTAAAAGGCACACTGCCTGTGTTGGCACTGTTGCTAACTCATTTCTTCTATAGTGAAATGTACTATATATACAGCAGTGTATACAATATTCTATGTAGAGTTTAAGAAAACTCCGTATAAGCCACACTCTGGATCAAGAGAGAACACAGTTGGTATTTGAAAACCTGCCACTTCCATCCCCATCCTTTTCCCAGAGGTGACCACCACTCTTGTGGTTTTTGTATCATCTTTCCATGATAATCGATCCTCAAAGGACAGATTTTTCAATGTTCTCATGTTTGTGTACTTTTGGTTTTCTGTTGGTTGCTTTTCCACACGATAATAGGCCGTGATTTTCATCCCCGTCAATAGTGTGTGGCTGGAGATCACTGGCCTCTGTGGCCATGTGCTCTTTCATGGACCAAAATGCCAGTTTACTTCTCCGATCTGTTGATGGCTAATTTGGGTTGTTCTAAATTTTATGCCGAAATAAACGACAACACTGTTGTAAACGTTCTTTTGCTTGTCTGCTAGTGCGTATGGGTAAGACTGTCTCTAGAAGGGTTCATTAGTTACCTACTGCATATAACCAATCACCCCAAGCTTTTTGGCTTAAAACAACTTTATTTTCTCGCAGTTTCTGGGATCAGGAATTCAAAAGCAGCTTAGCTGAGTGATTCTGGCTCTGAGACTCTCGTGAGGTTGCAATCAGCATGCTGGCTACTGTCATCTGAAGGCCGGACTGGGGTGGGTGCTTCCAGGCTCACTCTCAAGGCCGAGGCAGGAAGCTTCACCCCTGCAGTGGGAGCCTCTTCATAGGTGACTTAGCAGCTGGCTCTCCCCTGCATCAGGAATCTGGGAGGGAGCCCGGCTGATGCTCCTGCTGGTTTTCTGTCATGCTGTCTTCTCTCTCTATCTGCCTAGTTATCTTTGTGTGCTGGATATTACTCTCAAAACTTATTTGCAGAAATAATTTGAGGCCTAGGGTGAAAATGTCTTTTGCCAAAGTTGATTTTTTGTGTGTTTTGGCCAGATACCGGTCATCAACTGTTCATGATCACCTTAATACAATTTCAGAATATGTGATAATTTGGGCCACCCAGATGGCTTGATGACTGGATGGACCCCATTGGGGTCACAGTTCACAAATATGGATAGTTCACAAGGAGCCCCGTTGCTGGTGTGCCCTGAGCCAAGTGCTTCTGCCTGCTGGCCACAGAGCCCGTCAAAGACATGGTTCAACCTCTCAGCCATCTGTCTGTGGGCAGTAAGCCCTGGGCTGCAGTGGCCCCAGATAGTGGGCTCACATATTTGGATTTTCTTTACTTCCTGGACCTTGGCTTGGTAATTCCTCATTATTTTGTTAGATGTCTTATGTTTTGAGAAAATGTCATTTTGTCTGATTTTATTAGTTTTTAGTGGACAGGTTGATCAGAGTTACTTTGTCCATTGTCCCCAGGGATGGAAGTCTTCTCTCCCTCGTTCTTCACATATATTTTTATAGATGGATGATTCTGTTTGAATGACAGGGTCCTTCAGTCCACAGAAGCTGTTTATCCTTTTCCTTTCTTTATTTGGGGAAGATTTTATTTTTTTCTTTATTTGAGAGATAGTGATAGAGAGAGAAAACAAGCTGGGGGAGGGGCAGAGGGGGAGAGAGGATCCCAAGCACACTTTCCGCTGAGTGTGGAGCCCAACATGGGGCTCGATCTCATGACCCTGAGATCCTAATCCGAGCAGAAACCAAGAGTTGCATACCTAACCAACTGCACCTTCTGGGGGCCCTGGAAGGTGTTTTTCTATTGTCTTTAAACTTCGAGGTTGCTGATGAGAAATCAGTTATCACAATTTACTTATTTGAAAGTAATATTTTATCTATTCTGGCTATTTAGAATGTATTTTCTTTAACTTCAGTGTACTGTGGTGTAAGTGATTTGTCCAAGTAGCCAATTGATTGAACTCTCTGGAGTCTGGTGTGGTAACTTTCAATAGCCCTTGTCTTCAGAGGATGCCTCTGTCTTACACTTTCTGTGTTTTCTGCCTTGGAGTTGATGTGGGTTGGCCTGTCTCACTGACGTGAACCTCGGGGAGTCCTCCTCTCTGTCTGAATTTCTCTTTTTTTTCTTTGGGCTTTAGGTACTTGGTTCACATCAATCTTTTGGCTAATTTTTCTGCTGTATATAAGATGCTATCAAACCAATTCATTGAGTTTTAAATTTAAATTATTTAATTTTTCATTTCTAAAAATTCTCCCTCGTTCTTTTTCAAATCACGTGTATCGTTCTTTAGACTTTCTTGGTCCTGCATGTCCTTTCACACTTGCTTTTACTGAAATATTGTCCTTGTGCATCTGAGATGCCCGTGTTGGAAACCTGTTTCTATTTCCTGTTATTTTAGTTGTTTTTTTCTCAGTTGAGAGAGTAATCTTCTTGTTGGTTTACTTTTGACAGTAAGTGACTTTTATGTGGATGTTAGTTGAGGAAATTCCTGCAGGGCTGAGATAAAGGTGAGACTCTTTGGAGAGGGCTGCTGAGCTGATCTTCTGCAGGCTGCTCACCCAAAGACACCCGGGGTGCAGGTAGTAACATGGGACTTGGGAACCCACCCAGATAGTGTAATTTTGTGAGCAAGCTGGCTTGTATCTGAATTCTTAATTGCATCTGCAAAGATGCAAATTAAACATCCTATTGTTTTTGAAGGAAAATCTTAATCCATCAACATCTGAGTTGCCAAGAGGAATTGAATTAATGCCCTGACATTTTGAGTTAAGTTCGTGACAGTGCTAATCCAATCCTGTTTGCTACAGTGAGCCTCACTGACAAGAACACATTCCTTTATAGATGTCCGATTTTGTGATGATTGTTTTCAGGCTTGATTATATGCTATATCATGATATATATATATCACTGTAACCAGCTGCAAACGGAAAGATTGTGTCCTCCTGAAATTCCTGCGTTGAAACCTAATCCCCAGTGTGGGTGTTAGGAGGTGGGGCTTTTGGGAGGTGAACCGGTCATGAATAGGATTAGTGTACTTGTAAAACGATGTGGACAGCTCGATGCCCTTGCCTGCCATGTGAGGACACATGAGAAGGCAGCTGTCCATGGACCTGGACGAGGGCCCTCGCCAGAACCCAGGCACACAGGCCTCTCATCTCAGACTCCCAGCCTCCAGAACAGTGATACACTAATGGCTGTTGTTGACTCCACTCTGTCTGGATGTCTTTACTACCATCACTCCAGTGGACTTAGACACTCCGTACACTGAATTCTGATTTCCTATGGAATCCGGTGTTCAGGTAGCAGAATATGTTGCTACTAAAATTGACATTAAAATCCTTCTCAGTGTATGTATAATGAAAAGTATTTAATCCCCCCCCCAAACATTTCTTTGTAAAATCAGTGTGTGTTTTATGTATGAGCTGATGAGGAAGGAAGCCCTGAAGCATGGGCCAACATGCCCAAACGTGCTCGGTACATGCTTTTCTTTCCTCTGTCCAGTGGGTCAAGGAGTTTTCTAATAGACCCTGTTAGACCCTTGATTTGGTGGGGAGACTGTCATAGTTTATGTGAAATGTTTTGGACACATGGTCAAAAAACTGACACTTGGAGGCGTTTCTCTTCTCAGATCTCTTCAGGTTTGTTAGTGTTTTCCATGAGGGAGGCAGTGTGATCCTGTTCACTGGTGGGGGTGGGGAGTAGGGAGG